CTACTTACTCTAATTATCACAAAAATCTCAACTTTTGAGGTGAGCAATTCACCTAGTGTCTTCTGGAAGGGTGGATCCTAAGGGATATGTGATATGTTTTGTTGATATGTGTATGTGTAATATATACATTTAGTTAATTTGGTTGTTTTCATATTGCCATTTCAATATGTATTTTATAGAAACACGTCATAATGTGCGTCTTTTACAGAAATGCATTTTAATTTTTTTTTGAGCGGCCAGTGGCGCAGTGCATCAAACCACTGAGCTGCTGAACTTGCTTACCAAAAGGTCTCAGGTTTAATCCAGGGAGCTGCATGAGCTCCCGCTGTTAGCCGCGGCTTCTGCCAACGTAGCAGTTCAAAATCATGCAAATGTGAGTAGATCAATAGGTACCGCTCCAGCGGGAAGGTAAGGGCGCTGCATGCAGTCATGCCTGCCACATGACCTTGGAGGCGTCTGGACAATGCCAGCTCTTCAACTTAGAAATGGAGATGAGCACCAACCCCCAGACTCGGACATGGCTGGACTTAATGTCAGGGCAAACCCCTATACCTTTACCTATGGAATTTTTATAATGTTTATAATGTGTTGTAGTTATGCTCTAACCCAGGCCTGGGCAAACTCAGGCCCTCCAGGTGTTTTGGACTTCACACTCTCAGAATTCCTAAGAGCCTCGGGCCCCTTCCTTTTCCCCCTCAGCCACTAAGGGGAAAAGGAAGGGGCCTGAGGTTCTTAGGAATTCTGGGAGTTGAAGTCCAAAACACCTGGAGGCCCTGAGTTTGCCCATGCCTTGCTCTAACCCATCTTGAGACACAAGGGGACGCAGGTAAGACATAAAATTATTGGTTTGCTGTGAGTTTTCCAGGCTTTCTGGCCATGTTCCAGAAGCATTCTCTACTGACATTTTGCTCCCACCTCCGGTGGGGATGAGAAAAAGGGCCTACTGTTTACAACTCCTCTGTTGCGCCAGCTCCACTGGCTACCAGTTTGCTACCGGGCACAATTCAAAGTGCTGGCGTTGGCCTATAAAGCCCTAAACGGTTCTGGCCCAAGTTACCTATCCGAACGCATCTCCGCCTATGAACCCACTAGGACTTTAAGATCTTCTGGGGAGGCCCTGCTCTCGATCCCGCCTGCAACTCAGGCACGGTTGGCGGGGACGAGGGACAGGGCCTTCTCGGTGGTGGCCCCTCGGCTGTGGAACGCCCTTCCCACAGACATCAGATCGCTCCCTCATTAATGGCATTTCGGAAGAAAGTGAAAACCTGGTTATTTGAACAGGCGTTTGAATAGGCAGTGCAATGAATTACAATGAATTATAGGAAATCGGAACAACGGATGACGAGCTTGGATTATGATTTTAGTTATGAGACGCTAGTGAGTTGTTATTGATGTTTATTGATGGTTATTGATGTTAAGCGCTTAGTGTATTATTGTGTTAATTGTTTTTTTTAAATGACTGTATGATGTTTGCATTGAATTTTTGCCACTGCTTGTTGTTAACCGCTCTTAGTCGCCTAATGGCTGAGAAGAACAGTATACAAATAAAGTAAATAAATAATTAGGCTAGCACCCTCCCTGTCCACGTTTCGTAAAGATCTAAAGACTTGGATGTTCTCTTGTACATTTGATTAGACAATTCCCTGTTAAATGTTGTTTTATGTTGTTCTTATACTAATGTTATGTATTTTAAATATGCTATGTTGTAACTTTGTTGATTGGGCTTGGCCCTATGTAAGCCGCCCTGAGTCCCTTTCGGGGAGATGGAGGCAGGGTATAAAGATAAAGTTGTTGTTGTTATTATTATTTTACTGACACAAAGACACAGTATGTCACAACAAATGAGATCTATATGCTGGATTTCATATCACAAGATCACAAGTCAAACACTTGAAGTTGTTATTTATTTATTTACTAGCTGGCCCCTGCCACGCGTTGCTGTGGCTCAGTCTGGTGATCTGGAAAATAAAGTAATGGTTTCTAATATATGTTATTCCTTTATGCTTGTGGGTAAACAGTATTCCTTGTTGTTTCTATGTCAGTATTGATGTGGAGATTGTCTGGTTTGCCTACTCTGGAACATGCAACATATAATTGTCCTTCTTTAGGGGTCCCTTTCAAATCTATGATACTATATCTCTCTGAATCATATCTATATCTATCTATCTATGGCTGGATGGATCTTTGTCAGGAGGACTTTGATTACTTTTCTTGCCCTGATGAAGGGAGTTGTATTGAATGGCCTTAAGTATGTTCAGTTGGTCATGGGGGTTCTGTGTAGGAAGTTTGCCCCAATTCTGTCATTGGTGGGGTTCAGAATGCTCTTTAATTGTAAGTGAACTGTGAATCTCAGTGACTACAACTCCCAAAGTGAAGGTCTTTTCCCCCCAAACTCCACCTGTGTTCATATTTGGGCATATGGAGCATTCGTGTCAAGTTTGGTCCAGATCCATCATTGTCTGAGTCCACAGTGCTCTCTGGATGTAGGTGAACTACAACTCTAAAACGAAAGACACTGCCCACCAAACCCTTCCAATATTTTGTGTTGGTCATGGGAGTCCTGTGAGCCATGTTTGGTTCAATTCCATCATTGGTAGAGTTTAGAATGCTCTTTGATTGTAGGTGAACTATAAATCCCAGCAAGTACAACTCCCAAATGACAAACTCAATTTTTTTGAGTGAAGGACATACATTAGGTTGTTAGGTGTATGCTGCCCAAATTTGGTGTCAATTCACTCACTGGTTTTTGAGTTCTGTTAATCTCACAAACGAACATTACATTTTTATTTATATAGATTTATTTATTTAATTATCTAATTATTTAATTATTATGAAGACCTGGCTGGTTGCTGCCTGGGGCATTCCTTTGTTGGGAGGTGTTAGCTGGCCCTGTTTTATTCTTGTCTGGAATTCCCCTGCTTTTTTAGTGTTCTTTATTTACTGTCCTTATTTTAGAGGGTTTTTTTTTAATACTGCTAGCTGGATTTTGTTCATTTTCATGGTTTTCTCCTTTCTGTTGAAATTGTCCACGTGCTTGTGGATGTCAGTGGCTTCTCTGTGTAGTCTGACATGGTGATTGCTATAATTAAAAGACTATAATCCCAATTTTTTTGCTAGTATGAAATCTTGACTTGTACTAGCTTGTGCTATTAGTCATTGACTGCCTGATTTTAATCACTCTTGTGCAGAACTTGGTGACATTATAAGTTATAACCCAGTTTGTATCTGAAAGCAGCAGGGAGATGTAAAATTGTCCAGAGCATCCTAGGTGTTTGTATCACCATGGCGTAATGAGACAGGATCGAACAGGCACTGAAGAAACACATGTTCCATTTATTGTCGAAGGCTTTCATGGCTGGAATCACTAGGTTCTTGTGGGTTTTTTCGGGCTATATGGCCATGTTCTAGAGGCATTTTCTCCTGACGTTTCGCCTGCATCTATGGCAAGCATCCTCAGAGGTAGTGAGGTCTGTTGCCCATAGTCCTGCTTAATTTTGTCATATTGTTACTTTTATCTCTAGCTGTTGGGTTGGATTTATCTTTTATTGTATCCATTACCATATTCATATCCCCTTCAAAAATTATATATTTTTCTTGCCAGTTAGTTATTTTCTTTAACACTTTCTCGTAAAATTCTTCTTGCTTTTCATTGGAGGCATAAACATTTACGAGTACATATTTGTCTTGTCCAATTTCTCCTTCCATTATTATAAATCTACCTTCTTAGTCTTTCAGTACCCCAGTTTTCACAAAATTACATTTCTTTGCTACAAATATGGCTCCTCCTCTAGATTTAGAATTGCCATATGGTTTCTCATAATATTTTACCCAGTTTAGTTCATTTACATCTTCCCTTTCTTATGAGTTTTTGGGAGAAAATAAACATGTGCAACATTTTTTAAAACAAGCCTTCCATTCTATTCTTTTATACTAATTCCCAAGACCTCTTGTATTAAGCGTTGCCACTTTTAGTTTACCTGTCATTTTTATACCACATATTGTTAACTTGTGAACTTCACACAGTGCTTCTCTTCTCACTTCCCATTAGTCCTATTACCCTTATGTCCCTTGTCCGTTCCCCCTCCCCTCTTGGCATTGAATGTTTACCATTTTTGTATTCGCTGGAAACTGCCCTGAATCCCCTCCGGGAGATAAAGCAGGGACATAAATATTAGGGCTGGGCGGTTTCGTTTCGTTAATTCGTAATTCGTTAAAAATTCGTTATTTTTTTTGTTAACGAAGCGATAACGAACCATTCTGGAGCAACTTAAAAACGAAATGAATTTTTCAATTCGTTTCGTAAATGCTTCGTATTTCGTTATGTATTCGTTTCGTTATTGGTTTGAGGTTGTTTCGTTATTATTTCCGCATGTCTGGGGCAAGTTTTATAGGTTTTTTTTGTTTAATTAGTGAAAAAAAATTATAATATCACACCAACAGTCAACAACAGAGGGAGAGGGAAGCTTCAGAAGTTCCCCCTGTCCCATTTGGAGGTTTTTTAGCGTATTGCGCGGTCGCGTCCGCCATTAACGAATCGATTCGTTATTGTTTCGTTATTGTTTTGTAATTTTTTTTACCATTTACGAAATTTCGTAAATATCGAACTTTTTTTAAAAAAAATCGGAATTCTTTTAAATATCGAAACGCAAAAAAACCCAAAAAACGAATCGATTTTAGAAACAAATTTTTCCGTTGTTACCCAGGCCTAATATCTATCTATCTATCTTATTATTATTATTATTATTATTATTATTATTATTATTATTGTTATTATTTGTATTTATATGCCGCTTTGTATCCCTGAAGGGAGACAAATAATAGAAGGAGTTCCCCTTTCTTTCTTTCTTTCTTTCTTTCTTTCTTTCTTTCTTTCTTCCTTCTATCATTCATTCTTTTTGTTCTCCATCCATTTTTTCTTTCTGGATTCATTCCCTTCTTGTTTAAGAATCAGTTATTGCCTTTGCTAGCATTTGTGTATGTCCTTGAGACCCTGCTGTCTTCATTTCTTGGTATTCCCATTTTCAACATGACCCATGAATGGAAAGGGGGAAAGTCTTGCAGGTAAAGAAGGTTTCTGCCTGTCCTCACTGATCTTTGGCTTCTTTCTTCACCAGGGAAATGAAAATTCTATGGAGCCATCTCTTGGGTACAGTAAGGAAACCAGTAATATGGGAAGAAGAAATAATCTCAAGGTGATGCTCTTGCTGACTTGAGTTCACTTACAGAAAAGAAAGGGAAATAGTGCCAAGTATCCGTATTGCAATTCAACAACCATATCACTGTTGACATGGAGGAGAGAGCATTTAAATGCCTGGAGTGCGGAAAGAGTTTTACTCAGAAGGTTCATCTCCAGCAACATGAAAGTACTCACACTGGGGAGAAACCCTATAAGGACTTGGAGTGTGGACAGAGCTACACTCAAAATTCAATGCTACGTTTGCATCAAAGAATTCATACTGGGGAGAAACCCTATGCATGTCTGGAATGTGGAAAGAGCTTCAAATATAATTCAGTTCTACGTTTGCATCAAAGGACTCACACTGGGGAGAAACCCTATGCATGCCTGGAATGTGGAAAGACCTTCACTTATAAATCAGTTCTACGTGTGCATCAAAGGACTCACACTGGGGAGAAACCCTATAAATGCCTGGTGTGTGGAAAGAGCTTCACTCATAGTTCCCATCTACATAGACATCATAGAACTCACACTGGGGAGAAATCTTATGCATGCCTGGAGTGTGGACAGAGCTTCAGTGAGAATGGAAGTCTACGTGTGCATGAAAGGACTCACACTGGGGAGAAACCCTATACATGCCTAGAGTGTGGACAGAGCTTCACTCGGAGTTCAGATCTACGTTCACATCAAAGGATTCACACTGGGGAGAAACCCTATAAATGCCTGGAGTGTGGACTGAGCTTCACTCAAAGTTCAAGTCTACGTTCACATGAACGGACTCACACTGGGGAGAAACCCTATAAATGCCTGGAGTGTGGACAGAGTTTCAGTCGGGGTCCATATCTACGTTCACATCAAAGAACTCACACTGGGGAGAAATCTTATACATGCCTGGAGTGTGGACAGAAGTTCAGTCAGAATGGAAATCTATGTTCGCATCAAAGAACTCACACTGGGGATAAACCCTATAAATGCCTGGAGTGCGGACAGAGCTTCACTAATAATTCAAGTCTGTGTGTGCATCAATGGATTCACACTGGGAAGAAACCCTATAAATGCTTGGAGTGTGGACAGAGCTTCACTAAGAATTCAAATCTACGTAGGCATCAAAGGACTCACACTGGGGAGAAACCGTTTAAATGCTTGGAATGTGGACAGAGCTTCACTCAGAATTTATATCTACATAGGCATCAAAGGACTCACACTGGAGAGAAACCGTTTAAATGCTTGGAGTGTGGACAGAGCTTCACTGAGAATGGAAGTCTACGTGTTCATCAAAGGATTCACACTGGGGAGAAACCCTACAAATGCCTGGAGTGTGGACAGAGCTTCATTAGGAGTACACATCTACGTTCGCATCAAAGGACTCACACTGGGGAGAAGCCGTTTAAATGCTTGGAGTGTGGACAGAGCTTCACTGAGAATGGAAGTCTACATAGACATCAAAGGATTCACACTGGGGAGAAACCCTACAAATGCCAGGAGTGTGGACAGAGCTTCATTAGGATTACACAGCTAAGTTCACATCAAAGGACTCACACTGGGGAGAAACCGTTTAAATGCTTGGAGTGTGGACAGAGTTTCACTGAGAATGGAAGTCTACGTGTGCATCAAAGGATTCACACTGGGGAGAAACCTTATACATGCCTGGAGTGTGGACAGAGCTTCACTCAGAATTCAGGTCTACGTCTGCACCAAAGGACTCACACTGGGGAGAAACAGTTTAAATGCTTGGAGTGTGGACAGAGCTTCACTCAGAGTTCAAATCTACGTTCACATGAACGGACTCACACTGGGGAGAAACCCTATAAGTGCTTGGAGTGTGGACAGAGCTTTTCGCAGCATGGACATCTACGTTCGCATCAAAGGACTCACACTGGTGAGAAACCCTATGCATGCCAAGAGTGTGGAAAGACCTTCAGTGAGAATGGAACTCTACGTTCACACCAAAGGACCCACACTGGGGAGAAACCCTTTAAATGCTTGGAATGTGGGCAGAGCTTCACTCAGAATTCACATCTACGGCAGCATCAAAAGATTCACATTGGGGAGAAACCCCATAAATGCTTGGAGTGTGGACGGAGCTTCACTGCGAGTGGAAATCTACATTTGCATCAAAGGACTCACACTGGGGAAAAACCCTATAAGTGCCTTGAATGTGGACAGAGCTTCACTTCTAATTCAGGTATACGTTCACATCAAAGGACTCACACTGGGGAGAAACCCTATAAATGCTTGGAGTGTGGACACAGCTTCACTAACAGTGGAGACTGTGCATGCGTCAACGAGAGTAGACTTGCCTAATTTCTCTCCTAACTACAAGCACAATTAAAGCCTCAAAAAGCCCATAAAGTGTCTTAAATGTCTCCCTATCTGGGGTGTAGATCAAAAGAGAAAAGAGAGGAGCGGTCATGAATGAAGGTGACTGAAGCCATAAATCTCAGAATACAAACAGAACATCAGGTGATAGTAAGTATGGCTGATAGAAAGGGGAAGATTGAAGAGGAGGAAAAAAATTGAACAAGATTATAACCGCATTGGAATATCTTAAATTAAGTATGGAGAGTTTAAGACAAGGAAAGAGCAGAGAAGAGAACAAATTACACAAATTAATAATTATCTCGGGCTGATAGTAACTAAGGTAGAAGAATGCCAAGAAAATTTCAAAGCGCCAGCAACCGAGATGAGAAGATAAAAAGATGAATTGATGGCTTTGAAAACATAAATCAAAAAATCCTTCAAAAAGTTGGTGACCTTGAAGACTGCTCGCGAAGAACCAGATAAGACCAAGGACAAGCCAGCTGGACAAAAAGCACCAAAAGATCTGGAAGCTGCAGAGAGAGGCGAGCTGACAGAGACAGGCTTACCTCAGAGATTATTTGCTATGGGAAATCCAAAGGACATGGAAGAAAAAAGAACCTTAAGGAACTTGAAGGACAGAGATTTTGATTTGGAAAAAAAAATATTGAGAAGCAATTACAAAATCTTAAAATACAGAAAGTAAGAGAGGAGAATAGAAGGAATTGAAACAAGATCCAGTATAGAGACATAAGAATGAACAGCCTAAGAACTGTGGAATAATGAAGTTTGGACAAATGGGGTTAAATGGGTGAAAGAAGTTGCAAGAGAGGAGAGCGGAGGAAGGGCAACGCAGTCACCAAGGGAGAGTCTGGGGATGAAAGAGAACAAAGGGAAAACTCTTTCAGGTCTCCCTCTGAGGGAAGGAGGGAGAGGTCTGGACTCTGAGGGGAAGAATGGGAAGACAAGCAGACAGCGAAATGAAACTCCAGGAGGGCAAATGCAAATAATGCCTTATGTGTGAAGTAGTAATGATTTTGCATAATTGTAATGGTTTACTTACTCCACAACAAAGAGCAAAAGTGATGAAAATGGTTAGAGAGAGAATAAGGTAGACATTTTATTTTTACAAGAATCTCACAAGAGAATGGGGAACAGGACTCTATTATTTAATGGTAGGATTTGAAGTCATGTTTATTAATTTAGAGCAGGGGTCCTTAAACTACGGCCTGTGGGACGGCGCCGGTCCCCGGGGGGCATTTATCCGGCCCACTGGCAGGGGCGGCTGAACCAACAGCAGCTTGGCTGGTACTGCTCTCCCGCTCGGGGGCTGGGAAGGAAGAGGGAGGCAGAGGCATGGATGCTGTGGGTGCCAGATCTAAATGGAGGGAGTGAGAAGGCAGCCAAGTACAGAGGCCCCAAGGAAGGAAGGAAGGCAGGCAAGCAGATTGGGGCCTTCCTGCCCCCCCCCCCCCCCCGCCCCTGGATACTCCATCTCCGCCTGTAGAGCTCTAGGGTGTTCGAGGCAGGGTGCGCCATGGCTGGGGCTGCAGGGCTTGCAGGCAGGGCTCCAGCCGCTCTCCTCTTGCTGCTCCTGTTGCCCCTGAACGGGAGACCAGCAGCAGCAGCAGCCAGGCCAGTAGCAGGGCAGCAAGAGGAGAGCAGCCGAAGACTAGGAGCGTGGTGAAGAGAGGCAGACGTGCCCCCCCCCCCCCCCCCAATGCCTGCCAGCCACCGGACGAGAGAACAGTAGCAGCAGCAGGACGAAGGAGTGACACAAAGACCAGTATTCCATTTTCGGCATATCAGGTTTCTGTGCAAAATTTGGTAAACATCCATCATTATTTGAGTTTACAGTGCTTTTTGGATGTAGGTAAACCACAACTCCACAAAACTCAAGTCCAGTGCCCTTCAATTTGCTTCAGGAGACTATTATTATTTTTGTTGTTGTTGTTGTTGCTGTTGTTGTTGTTATTGTTAATATTGCTCCTGCAGTAATTCTGTTTTCCTGCCTGTCAGAAGGAAGGGGTTGGACTTGATGACCTTTGGGGTTCCCTTCCACTTGTATGGCTAATAATAATAATAAGCATCATCATCATCTAATTCTATCTTCCTGCCTGGCAGAAGGAAGGGGCTGGACTAGATGGCCTTTGGGGGTCCCTTCCAATTGTATGAGTCTTATAATACTAAATAATAATAATAATAATATAGTAATTCTATCTTCCTGTCTGGCAGAAAGAAGGGACTGGACTAGATGACCTTTGGGGGTCCCTTCCAACTGAGTCAAATAATAATAATAATAATAATAATAATAATAATAATAATAATGTCTCTTTTCCCCAAACTCCCCCAGTATGTTCTGTTGGTCATGGGAGTTCTGTATGCCAAGTTTGGTTCAGATCCATTTTAGAGGACCTCAGAATGCTCTTTGATGACTGGTGGACTATAAATCCTCAGAACTGCAATCCCCAAATGTCAGGGCCTCTTTTCCCTAAACCCCTCCAGTATGTTCTGTTGGTCACTGCATTAGAAAGGTTGAGAACCACTGATTTATACCCTGCTTCTCTCCCTAAGGGACCTACAGCAGCTCACAATACAATACAACTCAAAGCACATTCAATTTAAAATACAAAACAAAAATCACACAAAACATAATAATATCCAGAAGTAGGATATAAATAAATGTTAAGCATTAAAAACCTGTAAAAAGAAGAAGGGTGGGCTTTGAATGTGTTTTGATAGCTTTCCATTGAATGTTTAAAGCAGGCTTGGGCCCTCCTTGTATTTTGGACTTCAATTCCCACTACTGGCTGTTAGGAATTGTGGGAGTTGAAGTCCAAAACACAAGGAGGGCCCAAGCTGGCCCATGCCTGCTTTAAAGAATAGCAACGATAGTTAATTCTATTGTAATGTTTCATATATTTGTAGATTTAAAATTGTGTTGAAAAGTAAGCTGCTTTGGCCCCTTCTACACAGCTGTATAAAATCCACACTTAACTGGCTTACATGGCAGTGTGGACTCTGATAATGCAGTTCAAAGCAGATATTGTGGATTATCTGCCTTGATATTCTGCGTTATATGGCTGTTTGGAAGGGCCCTTTCAGACAGGCCCTATATCCCAGGATCTGATCCTCGGTTTTCTGTTTATCCCAGATTATCTGGCAGTGCAGACTCATATCATCCAGTTTAAAGCGGAAAACCTGGGATCAGATCCTGGCATACAGGGCATCTGGAAGGACCCACAGTCTCCTTGTGGAGACAAAAAGTGGTGTATAAATAAACATAATAATACAAATGTAGAACAGAAATCTGTTCCAAGTTTGAAAGTGTTGTTTTCTGTTTAATTGTGCGGCCCTTACTTTGAAAGTAGTAGTTCTCATCCAGAAACTTTGTGTGGCTGCCACAAACTATGATGACAAGAGCTTATGGGAGTTTGGCCAATAGGCTGATCAGTAAACATATTCATGGGGTTCCTGCTGTTATAATAAACCAGTTACCCATGCTACGACATGCTTGAAGTGAAAATTCCATTTATTTGTAATTTATTTATTTGTCGTGTCAGAACAACCAGTCAAATTATATTACATTTCTAACAGAAACAAAGCAAACAAGCAGATTACAGAATTTGTGAGTATGAGAGTTGATTAAATGTCCTTTGACCAGTATCTGGCCACTTGGAGTGCTTCTGGTGTTGCTGCAAGAAGGTCCTCCATTGTGCATGTGGCAGGGCTCAGGTTGCATTGCAGCAGGTGGTCAGTGGTTTGCTCCTCTCCACACTCGCATGTCGAGGATTCCACTTTGCAGCCCCATTTCTGAAGGTTGGCTCTGCATCTCGTGGTGCCAGAGCGCAGTCTGTTCAGTGCCTTCCAAGTCGCCCAGTCCTCTGTGTGCCCAGGGGGGAGTCTCTCATTTGGTATCAGCCATTGGTTGAGGTTCTGGGTTTGAGCCTGCCACTTTTGGACTCTCGCTTGCTGAGGTGTTCCAGCGAGTGTCTCTGTAGATCTTAGAAAACTATTTCTAGATTTAAGTCATTGACGTGCTGGCTGAGACCCAAACAGGGGATGGGCTGGAGATGTCTCTGCCTTGGTCCTTTCACTATTGGCTGCTACTTCCCAGCGGATGTCAGGTGGTGCAATACCGGCTAAGCAGTGTAATTTCTCCAGTGGTGTAGGGCGCAGGCACCCTGTGATAATGCGGCATGTCTCATTAAGAGCCACATCCACTGCTTTAGTGTGGTGAGATGTGTTCCACACTGGGCATGCATATTTGTAATTAGAAATAAATGTTTCACAATAGTCCCATGTAAACTATAGTCTGGCCTTCCAACACTCTGAGGGACAGTGAACTGGCCCCCTGTTCAAAAAGTTTGAGGACCCCTGCTTTATGTCTGGCAGCGCTGAGCTCCTCCCTCTTTGGCATCTGTTAGTTTTTTGTAAGCAATGCTAGCTTTTTCCCCCATTCCATATAAATGTAGTCAAATCTTTCCTCCAAGGTTTGAAAATTCTCCCTCCTTTAAATATTCGTAAAGTTTGAAATAAAAACAGCATTTTGAGTAAGATCACCATTTTTATTACTGCTATTCTCCACACCCAAATTGATTTAATTCTTTGCCATCTTACCAAATTTTCTTCAATCTCCTTCTACTTTTTTCATAATTATTTTCAAAGAAGTTATTGTCAGAACATGGGTTTAAATGTAGTGAAATATTGCTATAGTTTAAACAGTGTGATGTAGCAATATAATGTAAGAGTTAAATGCATAGAGCTGTGATGGATTCCTAGAGCGTAACTGTGGGAGCAGTTAAAAGAAAATATAATAATAACTAGCTGTCCCCTGCCACGTTGCTGTGGCCCAGTCTGTTGATCTGGAAAATAAAGTAATGAGAAAGTGTTGGTTTCTAATATAGTAATTTCTTTATGCTTGTGGGTAAACAGTATTTCTTGCTGTTTCTTTGTCAGTGTTGATGTGGAGAGTGTCTGGTTTGCCTACCCTGGAACATGCAACATATCATTGTCCTTCTTTAAGGGTCCCTTTCAAATCTATGATACTATATCTCTCTCTGTGTGAATCATATCTGTCTCTCTCTCTCTCTCTCTCTCTCT